ACGCCTCTGTCATCTGGGACCTCTTAGCAGCAGCCGGGTTCTTCAGGGAGACTGGGAGAGGCGCGGTGCGGAGGGGCTGTGGTTGGTGTGAGGCTCAGACCCCAGCACCATTACCGTCTCAGAGGCCCCGGGTGTGCTGTTTCAGTCACGCCGTGCCCCAGTTTCCCCATCTGAAAATCAGGATCAAGTATACAGCGTAGCGGCGAAGGGGTGCCCTCCGGATCGGGGCTCCCGGGGTTCAGAGCCTGCTCGCACCTTTGCAGGGGCCCACCTTTGGCAGGTACTCCGCTCCTCCCCACTCGGTTTCCTCGTCTGTCACAGGGTACAGTGCTCCCTCCCACCCACGTGACGTGCTTGCACAGAGCGTCGCTGGCAGAGCCGGGCCTCAGTACTCGCTGGCCGCGTCTTCACCGTTACAACCGCGGGGTCGCGCCGGGCGTCCATCCTGCTGCGCTCGCTACTCCCCGCGGTGCCTGGACGAGCTCTTGCTGAGCCACATCCCTGACCCCTGGGTCCCCATCCACAATGTGGGGTGACAGTACTACCCGCCTTTAGGGTCGTGGTGCGGCTTAGATGGCTAAGACACGGAGACAGTGTGACCCAGCAAGCGCCAGCTGTCGTCGGTGAAGGGGCTTGTGAAGGGCCTTGCAGGGCCGGCGGTGGAAAACTCAGACGGGCCGCGTGCCCGCTTGATGGCCTGCGGCAGGCTAAGAGCACATGGGGCTTGCCCCAGGGGAGTGCCGGGTGCCCGCCAGTGTCCTGACTCAGATGCAAGTACTGCCTGCCATTCTGGAAGGACATGGCAGATGGCAAGAGCTGAGCCTCTCAGCTGTCCCAGGGAGGATGAGGCAGGGGTGGGGGACAGTGTGTCTGGCACAGGGTACTGGGTACTAGGGATGCACACGCTGCCTCCCTGACCCCACCTACCTGTCTTTCAGAGCCTGCCCAGCCCGTGCCTGGAGTGGGGAGGGCCTGCAGTGTAATCCTCAAGCCAGGTCATTTCTCAGCAAGGCCCAGAGACAGCATGCACATGGCCCGCAGTCACACAGCAGCTGGGTGGAGAGTGGGGTGGAGCTGTTGCCATTACGTATGCCACCTCCGCCGGAGCTGGGACGCCTGTTCCCTGCTGACACCAAGGGTGGACCCTGGCAAGTCCCACCAGTCCTGGGCCTGGCTCCTGTCTGGACAAAGTGACAAGTGGTCCCAGCTGTCTGGCATTCTGGCTGTCATAGCTGCACTGTCCCCTCCCTCTGTGCTGACAGTGCGACTTCTGTCCTGGCCCCCAGCCCATCTGCTGTCCCCTGACATGGCTAGAAGGTGGTTTCATTAGTTGTTTTGTCATAGGGTGCGTGCACTCTCTGAGAGAGACAGAGACAAGGAAAGTGAGAAATCACTTCTGAGAAGGGCTGGCCATCCTGCAGTCCCTTCTCCTCCACTCTCTCAGGATTTGGGGCATGTACGCACACGTGCCTGGTGTGTTTTTAGGCCACCAGGTCCGGGACTCAAGCCATGCAGTCAGCCGTGTGGGATCCAGCCACCTTTTTTTTTTTTTTTTTTTTCTTTTTTGGAGAGGTTTTTGCTATAGGGCACATGTGCTCGCCAGAAAGGCAGAGAGAGACAGAGAGACAGAACGTGAGAAATCACCCCCCCAGGGGGGATGGCCACGCCGCAATCCCTTCTCTTCCGTTATCCTCTCAGGATCTTGGGCACGCACGCACACGCGCCTGGTGTGAGATTTAAGCCACCGGGTCTGGGACTCGAACCGCGGTCTACTACATGGGAGTCCAGCGACATAGCCATTACGTTAACTGCTGGTCCCTGCGATCCAGCCACCTTGATTGCCACGCCTCCAACTGGCCCCATGAATTACATCTTTCAGAAAACCTAGCCCGGTCAGCCCGCTGTGCGGTGGTTGGGCACTGGGTCCCACAGGGCCAGCTGTGTGGCTTGCGTCCTGGACCCAGCAGCTCGGGGAGCACACCGGGCACATCTGCGTGTGTGCCCAGAATCCCAGGAGGAGAACGGAGACGAGAGTGTGGTGTGGTCCTCCCACCTGGGGAGGTGCTTTCTCGCTTTCCCTCCCTCTCAGCTGAGCACATGTGCCCTGTAGCCAAAAAAAAAAAAAAAAAAAAAAGATACGATTCACATACACAAGCAAAATGAGAGACACAACAGACCTACAGTGGAAAATTTCCCACCCACCCACTCAGTTCTCCGGAGGCAATTACCAGGGGTTTTAAGATTGATTGATTTATTATCATGATTTTCCAATTTTGATGAGAGAGAAAGAGAGCGAGAGAGCCACCAGGCCCAGGACTCGAACCGTGGTCAGCCATGTGTGAGTCTAGAGCCTTTAACCACCACATCACCTGGCAGCCCCAAGGGTTTTTGTGTTTTTTGTTTTTGTTTGTGGTCTTCCCAGAATATCCTCTCCTGGTATACCCCCGGCCCTGATGTTCGGCACCCTGCATATTTCACGTTGGTGACGTGGCTTGGGGAGGTTCCATTCAGGACCGGAGCGTCCACGGCAGGCCTGCGCCATGATGTGCTCAGCCGGTCCCTGTGGACAGGTGCCTGGGCCGCTTCCAGCCCTTTCCAAGGGAAGCGGTGCTGCAGGGACAGTGACACAACCTCATGCACGCGTCAGCGATTTGCCCGACTGACTGAAAGGTCCGTTCCTAGAAGTGGCGTTGGCGGTGGAGGGTGTGTCTCCGTGACAACGGCGCATCCACGTTCTCCGACTTCAAGGGTCCTGGCAGGGCTCTGGCCCCAGGGGTACTTAGTCTGGCTTCGCGACCTTCACCTGCTTTCTCCTCTGTATCTCAGTTTAACATGCTCCTTACACGAGTACTGCTTTCTAAGTAGAAAGTGCCAGATTAAGAAGAGAAAGATTCAGACTCATTTATTTGTCCCTTGATGAAATCCGGCTGCCATCCCTCTCTGCCACCCCCGCCGAGGCCGGGCGTATGGGAAGGCGTCTCTGAGCATCTCTAGCGTGGAGAGAACGCAGGTGTTTCTGTGCCGGCCGGCACACGGAGGCAGTACTGGGTATTACCTGGAGAGCACCAGGCCCTTTTCCAGGGGAAAATGGGGAGACTGAGGCCGAGAGAAAGGGGCATTCTTGTCTGAGGATTTGCACGTGCTGGTACCCCCGGCCCTGAGCCTGAGGGCCAGATGCTGGGAGGGATGGGGGCCCCCTGGACCCTCAAGTCTAGCTGAGTCTCTCAGAGGCCAGCCCTCCCCGAGCGCCCTCCCCGGTCTGGGTTCACTGTCCCAAGGCTCGGGTGCAGACGCCAGCAGGCGGCCCCTGGAGCCAGAGTCCGGCCAGAGGTGCAGCTCGTAACCGGTCGGGGGGCCTGGACTGGGCCGCCTGTGTGAAGCCCAGGCCCGCAGCCCTTCAAATCCTGTCTCCTGACTACTGAACCATTCTTGCCTGAGGTGGCAGCGAGGCCTGGATGGGGAGGGGAGGAGGAGAGTGCCACCCCGGCCCTGGGGCCGCACATGGCCTAGATTGGACAACTGTGATGCCAGCCGGCAGATCCAGGGCAGACGCAGCCGCCCCAGACGCTCGCTCAGAGAGCAGCGGTCTGACCTGTGGGCCAGGAAGCTGCACGTCTGGGACTCTCGGGGCACTTGTAGGGGCTAATAGGGGCTTCAGAGTGGGCACAGGGCAGCCAGAGGGCCTTTACGGGGCCCAGTAGCTCTGAGAACTGAGGAGGCACCGAGGCTGGGCTGGGGTGGGAGGGGGCCTGCTGCCAGCTTCCCAGGGCTCCTGGGTCTGGCTCTAGGCAGGGTAGGGGAAGTGAACCAGGGGCTCTGAGATGGTGTAGAGCCAGGGGCAGGGGCCACTGGGGAGCGTCTTTGAGCCTGGTGCAAGGATCTAGCTGGGTCAGGGTGGGCAGTGCAGAGGGCAAAACAGGTGGGGAGAGAAGAGCTCCACCCAGAGCCCTAGCAGTCCCTTCTTGGGGTGCTGAACCAAGAGGCCAGGGGGTTCCTTGAGCTCCTGGTCCCTCATAGGGTGCCAGGCCCTGGGGGGGCCATGCAGACCACACAGAGGGTGAACCTGCCTGCTGGCTTCCGGGAGCCAAGGAACCAACCGCACATCTGTATTAAGCAACCTCAATGCTATGAGGCCCTAACACTGAACCCCAGGGGTTCAGGCCCACGTTGACAGCCATGGCCCCGTGCTTCTTGGCCTGGGGCTGGCTTCGAAGAGGAGGTGCCCACACCAGAACTAGGGGTGGGTTCTGGGAGCGGGAGTGGGTATGGAGGAGAGATGGGGAGGGGGGTGAGAGGGTGCTACAGGGCGGGTCTGGGACTGCCCTGGCCACGACGAGCCAGTCCCTGGGCAGGAACCCCCATCCCGGTGCTGTCTCGTCCCGTGGTGCCCTCATCCCCATGGCGGGGTAGGGGTCAGGCCTAGAAGGGGGGCGCAGGGGCATGCCCTCATCTCCAGGGCTGTCTCCTGTCCTCCCAGCACGTGAGCAGCCGAGCCTGCTAACCACAGCGCCGCACCTGTCCACCCCCCACGGCCACCATGTCCGGTTCCTACGACGAGGCCTCGCTGGCTCCGGAGGAGACCACCGACAGCTTCTGGGAGGTGAGGCTTTGACGCTCCCCTGCCTGGCAGCAAGGAGGCCCAGGACCCTGCCCCACACCCCATGGGCCTCAGGCCCTGCCCACAGACCCCATTCCAAGCCCTCGGGGCCCGCAAGGCAGCTGTAGCCATGGCCAGCGCCTACTGAACCCAGAGCCTTCTGTCCCCCAGCTGTCCCCAGAGAGCTCCTTGACACCTCACACGTGGGAACAGACCTCTCCTGCCTCTGCTCGGGGCCCTGGCTCAGACTACCGGCACTTCACACAGGCCGGCCGGTGCTGCCTGGCTGCTCGGCGTCCCCACCCCGGGGAACCCTGAACACAGAGAAGTGGGGCGAATCTCCAGAGCCACACCGTGACACAGAGCTGGTGGCAAGACTAGAAGCCAGCGTTTCAGGAGCCTCCAGATACATTTGAGACCTGGAGAAAAATTTTCTGTTGGCTCCGGAAACTCCGAACGAAAACTGCCAAGCCTAAATTAATAAGTGTTTAATGAGATGTCTGCAAAACATAATATTATGTCAAGAAGCTGCGGTTCAACTCAACACTTATATGACTCTATATAAATATAATAGATTTAGCTCCCAGGAGCGAAATGAATAATTCATTCCAGCCCAAGTCCAAATTATAAAAATCCTGCATTTTTGTGGCAGTGACAAAAATATGTTTCAAGTGGGATGAGGGTGCGCATAGACGGTGGGGTAAAGTTAGCGGGGCGGGATCCGCATGCTTTGCGGTGGGTTGCAGGTACAGGCAGGCAGTGGGCCCGGGCCAGCGCTGGGTGTGGCGAGCGCCCCCTGCGGGGCGCGGCGGCCGGGAGCCCGCGGGAGTCGTGCTCGCTGCTTGGCCGCCAGGTGGGGAACTACAAGCGGACGGTGAAGCGCATCGATGACGGCCACCGATTGTGCAACGACCTGATGAACTGCGTGCAGGAGCGCGCCAAGATCGAGAAGGCCTACGCGCAGCAGCTCACCGACTGGGCCAAGCGCTGGCGCCAGCTCATCGAGAAAGGTGCCTCCCCGGGCCCTCACCCTGCACCCTGCGCCCTGCGTCCTCCTCCCACGCGCTGCTCCCTCCCAGACCAAACCAGGCCTCCCTGTGCAACTCTAGTTAGTACAATTTCAGTCTGGATTAAAACACACATTCACACACACACGAAACTCTTTTGAAATAATGTGAGCTTCAAGAAAAGTCGCAGTGGGCCAGCAGGTGGAAGGTGCTGGACTTCCACGTGGTCCGCTGCAGTTCCAGGCTCCGGCCGACAGGGGGCTAGAAACACACAGGCCTGCCCAAGATCCCTAGAGGAGAATGAAGACAAGGGATTGCGGCATGGCCATCGCCCTGGTAGAGGGAGTGGTTTCTCGTTTTCTGTCTCAGGTAAGCACACATACCCTATACCAAACATCTCTAAAAATAAGAAGAAAGAAAGATTGCAGTAACAGTACCAAGATCTCCACACCTTCACCTAGAGTGTAGCTGTTAACACTGCAGTGCGTTTGTTTTCTCGCTGCGTCTCCGCTAACACGCAAGTCTCCCTGAGCCATTAGAGAGTATATTGGGGGCTATCATCCCTTCTGACCCCCACATCTTTTTAAAAAAAATTTTAAAGAGGTTTTTGCTACAGGGCGCGTGCGCTCACCAGCCAGACAGAGACAGAGAGACAAAGCGAGAAATCGCCCCCCAGGGGGCTTGGCCACGCCGCAATCCCTTCTCCTCCATTCTCCTCTCGGGATCTTGGGCACGCACACACATGCGCCCGGCGTGAGTTCTAAGCCACCGGGTCCGGGATGCAAACCACAGTCGACTACATGGGAGTCCAGCGACATAGCCATTACGCTAACTGCTCTTCCCTCACCCCCACATCTTCAGGTGTCTCCAGAGAGCGAGAACAGTGGTTTATGCAACCGAAGTTCAGCTGATCCAGCTTGGGGCACTTCCCACAGCCCATATGCAGATCCTACTGTAGGTCCACGCTAGTCCAGGACCCGCCCGGAGTCACACATTGCACTAGTCCTGTCTCTAGGGTTCCGTCACCTAGGACAGGGCTTGCCTGTAGCAGTGAACGTTTCTCACTCCCACTAGACGCTCGCCCCGCCAGGGCAGGGCTGGGCCCGGCACAGAGTCGTACCGGTACACCGACCTCGGTGCGTGGAGGGCTGATGGAGGAGATGAGGAGTTAAGTCCGGGGGCAGATGCTGCTGGAAGAATCCTGTGAGGAAGGCAGGGCAAGGCATATGATGGTATAGCGGTCAGAGAAGGCTTCCTGGAGGTGGTGGCTGTTCTCGGGCCTTGGCGGATGGCTGGGAGTGTAGGGAGAGCAGAGGAAAGGAAGGGAGAGCTTTGGAGGAAGGAGGCATGGCGGGGGGCGGGGAGAACCGT